ATAGTGATGCTGAAAGTTCGATTTGATCCGATTAAAGATCTGAGTTTAACTAGCGCTAGTAAATAGTTAAATACAATTAGCGAATTGGATTTGAATGAATAAATTTATTATCTAGTATAAACTAAAATTCACTGAATATCGTTATATCGATTATTATACGTAAATATATATATATATTATTATATATATATTTATTATTCGATTTATTGAATTAAAGAAATTAATCAATATCCCTACGGATCGAAAGTAATTCGAAGGTTAAAAGAAGTAAAATATACGATTCTTTTATAAAAAGCACTTTTTTTTTCTCTTATATTGACAAGTGTAACTAAGTATTAACTTTAAAACTGAGTACGAATGGGAAATCTATCATAAGGCATCGAAAACTACTTTATTAACAGTCAAAAATTTAACAAGAACAACCATTATTGGCTACTGGACGAGTCAAGTCAACGCCTCTTTGATTCAAATTGTTTCCTCGTGTACGTGTGTTAGCAGCTAATTGATCAAGCGGCATTTTTCTCGCTATATATAATATTTCAGAATATTAAACCACTTAATTAAATAAATTGTAAAGAATTATTAGACAAAGCAAGAATATAGATTTAGACAAACCTATTGATGTAAATAGTTCATTGACATTAGCAGATGTTTTTGCAGACGTTTCGAAAAACAAAAGGCCAGTATCTGCCGCATAATTTTGTGCCGTCTAATATATAAAGTAATATGATATTAAATTCACAGGTTTAATTATATATTATAAATTATAACTTATTTCAGTTACCTCAGTATCAATTACTCTACGTGCGCCCAGATCACTTTTATTACCAGCAAGTGCAATGACAATATTTGGGTCAGCCTGTCTTTGCAATTCTTTCACCCAAGATTTAGCTTTTTCCAAAGATGACTAAATCCACAGAATGAAAAAAAAGAATAATCGATAAATATATACGATTAATATACTATATAAAAGAATATGAATACATACAGGTTGAGTTATATCATAAACTACTACGGCACAATTTGCATTTCTGTAATACATTGGAGCCAAACTCTGTTTCATATTAAAAGATGATTATAGTAAGTCCAGAGAAAAAGATCAAATTATCAACTTTTGAATCAGAACCAGAAGAATAATTTATTAGTCAAATAACCTTATAACGTTCTTGTCCTGCTGTATCCCTAATAATGAGACATAACATTTATAATATATTGGAAAAGATGCTGAATCAATAATCATGAATATATACGCAACGCACCAGATTTCGAATTTAACAGTTGTATTATCATCCAGAGCAACTGTCTGTGTTAGGAATGCAGCTATATAACAAATAACAGAGTAATTATTTAATTATTATTCGGTTTCAATGAAAAGAGAATAATATAAAGGCCCTTACCTCCGATAGTGCTTTCTCTGTAGTCATCAAATTGGTCTTTGACAAAACGCAATACTAAGCTAGAATATATTAACAATTTTTAAAAGAATTGTTAGATAAAAGTGTTTATAGATAATAATAATAAAAATCGGAATAAATTAGGTGGGTACTAATAGGATATTAGGATATCAAGAAAAAACCCCATAATGTTAAAGTTTATAATTGCTTGAAATTTCCAGCTTTTGATTGAGTCTAAAGCAGTCGGTATCAAAGAGATTGAATATACGATAATAGTAGCTCTAGTATTTAAAAATCACGGGACAAAACTAACCTTGATTTACCAACTGCTGATTCACCTTTGATATTACAAAAAGAAACCAGTCAAAAGAAAAAGTAAAATCAAGATAGCATTAGTACAAATAAATGGTAAATAAAAAAAGAGGTAACGTAATAATAGCTCAAGGGGCACCACACGGCAAGATAAGACAGGCATCAAAGCTATTCTGTAAGATCGCAATGTTGGTGTCAAAATTGTATACTTGAATAAGCTGTCATACCTAGTAAAACGAGCTTAAATTGGAACAATTTGCCAGGAGCTTGAGAGTTGTGTCTATTACTTGGGGCAGACATTGTAGTTTTAGGGAATTAATACGAATGTTTCAATGTGGTGGCGAAGAAATATTATTGATACATATATAATAAAAAAAGGTATAGCGATAGGTCTAAGGAAGAATTAAGTCGAATCTGCGGCTATGTAACGATATGTTAAGTATTAACGTTAACATTAACGGAACGGATCAGATGACTCAAATGACTTAGTACCGTAGTAGGTACCAACTATGTACGTATATTTGTACGTACGTGCGACGTGCGAGCATTGCTTGGTACCAGTAATCAGCAATCGGAAGTTTTAGGCTGCACAAACCGATCTCAAATATATACAGTCCATTACTCATGTTTGGAGGCTGAATTTTTCATCATCAAATTTTCAATCTTCGACGCCTGTTTTATAGGACACTCAACAAAGAGTAGGGGAAGTTTGTTGAGGTTTTGGGGATAAAATTCACAAAAATTGAACAATAAACTTTATTATTTAATATTTTAAAATATTAAAAACACATTTTCGCTATCCTTTAAGTTGATAGAATAAAAAGTACTACAAAAAAAAGTGTAATAATAAAGGAAAGCTGACTTTTTTTGATTATCATGTCGTCTTCGATATCACCTTTCTATCGTCCTGGAGTATTTCCAGCTTTATCCTCTCGCCTCCTTACTAGTGCCTCAAAATCTCTTCGAGCGGCAATTCAACAACAGCTTATACTTAAAAGTTTTTACAGTACTCCTCTACGTCTTACTGGCTTACCATTAACCACAACCAAAGGGTTCACTTATTTGATAGCTGCGTCATGGCACCCAAAAAGAAGACGAAATTCAGTTCCTATAACTGCTAATAACCCTTGGTTGAAAGAGCGAATGAAGTTTGGAAAAGTTGATGCTGGAGAAGATGCTTTCTTTTATGTAGGAACAAACGAAGGAGTAGCTTTAGGAGTTGCGGATGGTGTCGGTGGCTGGACTCAAGTATGTAGCTATATCAAAACTAATAAATATATTATTTTAATACATTGAGTCCTTTGAGGATTACTTTGAAGATTAGATTAAGCAAAAAATTTTATTACAATTTTTAATAACAATAGATGGGTATAGATCCAGCTACATTTTCATGGGCATTAATGGACAATGCCGCGAGCATTGCAAAAGAATTTAATTCATATCAACTTTCACTATTTAATGCACCCAATGGAAGCACTGATATTTTGGATGCAAAACAAATATTAAGTGGTGCATTTGACAATTTGATAAAAAGTGGAAAGGTTAAAGCCGGTTAGTAAATTATTATTTTTTTTGTAAATTAAATAATAATAATAATAATAATAATTATGAATCTTATGATTTTTATGATTCTATATTTTATATATTTAATAGGTAGTTCTACGGCTTGTATTCTTTCATTATCGAAAACATCCGGTATTTTGAATGCAGCCACATTAGGTGATTCAGCGTACCTTCTCATTCGTAACGGACAACTTTTATATGAATCACCGTCACAACAACATTTCTTTAATTGCCCGTATCAATTAACTGTCGTTCCTGAAGATTTTCCAAATCAAAAGCTCTATTTCAAAGATAGACCTAGCGACGCTTACCAGGCTAGTCATCAACTTCAAGATGGGGACGTTATTCTGTTAGCCACCGATGGATTCTTTGATAATGTATTTACTGAAGAAGCAGTTTCTATTGTAAACAATGAACTTCGAGATGTTATTGGCCGTGATAGGAAAATGTGGGGCAATGATTATGAAGAACTCAGATCTCATGTTAGAAGATTGTCAAGAACATTGACGAATACAGCAAGACGTTGCTCCATGGACTCTAAGAGAGTGAGTCCTTTCTCTCAGAGTGCCAAGAAAAGTGGAGAAAGTCGTATTGGAGGGTAAGTTAAATTTATTATAAATTTTATTTGTTTGATGGTTTGTTTGCTTTGTTATTTTATGATAGGTGTTTGTGGCGCACGAACGAACATAAATTTTGTTCAAAGAAGCCATAATTGTAGAGTTGAAATGCAACATCTATGCATCAAAAAAACAACACTATACAACCATTTACATTCAAAATATTAGTAAGTCTTTGACCTAACAAATTTTTTTATAAATATATTTAATGTTTATAGTAAAATTGATGACATTACGGTGCTAGTAACACTTGTTCAAGCGAATCTATGATTAGTGGTAAAAAAAAAAAAACCCCCCCCCCCAAAAAAAGTAAAAGGAAAAAAATATAATAAAATTAAGAATAGTTATACAAATACTATCATTACATAAACCATTTATGATTACTATTTTTTGAAATATTTATGTATATATAAATTGATATATATATGTTATGTACATATCAATTTTGATTATACGCTGAAACTTAAATATTAAAATTATCTTTAGTGGTACAAATTAAACTATATTTTAATTCGATTGTTGTTCCATGATAATAGCCAATCAAAGTAAAGAGTAAAAAACTGTTCTATTTTTTGACATATTCTGTTTCTATTTTATTTTGAACCTAAATTTCACATGGTTTTAAGGGCAGGACCGAATAAGTATTGATGAAAATTGTGGCTATGCTTTGAACTACATACATGTATATCTATATTATTGATGTGTACGTATATACTATGTACGTACATATCAACTGATTGATGTTAACATTGATATATATCTTTAAAACTATAAAACCATTTTTAAAATTATCGTTATTATTATTATTGTTACGAGGAAATAAAACGGTTATAAATATTAATATTTTTATTTTATAAGTGATACAAGAATATGAAAATAAAATTACCACCATAAATATTACTAATGTAAAAATAATCTATCACTTGCGTCAACGTCGATTCGGACTGGTTAGGGTCAGAGTGAATGTATAATTAGGGTAGATCCATCAATTTCTAGTAAATGATTATCAGATAATTTTTGACGCATCGCTAATCTAAGAAAAACAATATATGTCGTATATATATTCTTTTAAGTCTTATCAAAAATTGAAATTAGTAATACTTTATGAAGATGTATAGGAACCGTTAAGGCCCGGTGCATATAGTGATGATCGTTAATCTATTACCATTACAGTATTGTACGTAACAAAATTATGCAAATATTTAAAAAGTTATTTTGTTTTTGTAACCAATCATAAATTAATGAGGTGATTCTTGTAAAGTGACTTATTACGTCACTGGTTACTGTTACAGTTAAGCATTAATTGCCTTTTATTTTATAAACCGGTTTGAATTACCTTTTTTTATATAGCGATAGGATGTCTGCATCTATAGGACAGACTAACCAATATTTACCGTTACAGTTGAAATCAGGGTTCTGCAAACTGGCCGTGTCTGGTACAATCGCTATGTTTCAATAGTGCCCTTGCTGGCACTTGCAGAACCAAGCGTTAATTGAAATATATCAAAAGGCAACTTTTGTATCACCATATGTAGACATTAGTTGTTCTCACGCTTCGTTCCGTACAATATTATATTGTTTACCATGCAGAATTGTCAGCTCTTGATTAAATACTTTCAAAACCAATAATAACACTAACGTTTACTAAAGAGCTAGTTAAAAGGAGCAGTAATTCACTTGCTGGGAAGGCCAGCTCGAAGAATTATTCACTTGACAAAAAAAACTAGTAAAGGGTTAAGTAATAGCTTTTATCAAGTCAATATAAAGCTGATGATATTGAACTTAACTAAACGGTAGCCAACGGTCTGTTCCCCGAACATCGTTCCCAAAAATAAATTTGTTAGCAAATTTAAGAAAGGTCCGCCCGCACGCGTGTTATGGCCAATAAAATTGTTCGATCAGGTGTAACGTTAAATTTATATAAAAAAAAAAAAAACGCGAAGGATCAAATTTCACATATAAATAGGTTATTTATTTTATTTTATTTTTTATACCCATTTCCTTTTTTTTAAAAAAAACATTACAGTTGCGAATCAATTAAGTTATATAATTAGCTTTTTAAATTATTCCTTAACGTTATGGGAAGGGATATGATCACATTTATACATGGTTGCCTAGATTATTTTTTAAAAAAAAAGCAATTTCAAAAATTTCGCAACGCATTATTGATATAAATAATTCAAACTATCAAAATTAAGAAATAGTTATATCCTGGTAGTTGGGTATAAGCGGAATTTTGGTGTAGAGTATAATTAATGAAGTAGATTGGCTGCGTAAGTAGCCAATCTATGTCATTATGCTTTACACCAAAAATTTCGCTTTACCCAACAAATCAGGATATAACTGATTTATCCCCTTTTATCTTTTTCATATACTTGGTTTCTACTGATAAACGTCGTCAACTTATTTTTACTGGTCTAGAAATTAATAACTTATGACGTGTACCAGTACAAACAAGTTGATGACGTTTGTCAGTAGAAATAAGTACATGATAAAAGTCATGTGACCAGGGGATAATCATTGTTGCGGCTTGATACTGAAATTTTGATAATTTGAAAATTTTTTAGGGTTGTTTTTCCGCTTTTTTGTTTTAGGGTTGGGTTAGAATTTTGGGCTAGAATTGATAGATAAAGTGTATATTTAGATTTCAGCAGGGCTTATATCTTACTTAAAATTGAGGTCCCAAGGTTTAGCCGTGACAATTATTTATTATGGAAGGTAATTTAGACGGTCATACCGCAATATATATATATATTACGAGGAAATATGGTTTGTGTTTCGATATACCGGGTGTATCAAAGTCCTTGTATATGGTTCCTTTTTTTAAAAAAATAACTTTATATATATATAACTGTATAAAGTCACTTAAAAAAAGACTATACAAGGACTTTTGATACTCCCGGTATATGTTATTCACCATCTTAGTCAGCAGGATTCAGTTGAATGATTAGCATAACCCTACCAAGAAGTGTGTTTGCCAAATGTGTTGTCTTTACTAAAAGATGGTTGTAACCCAAGTGTTTTCTCTTATTAAAAGGTGGATTGGCATTTTTTGATGGAAAGCTTATATTAGAATACATTTATATTTATTAAATTTATTCCCTCATTATTATTATCATCGTTATTATTAGTTTTCTGGACGTCCCCGTCGTGTGGCCTAGACACTATTTGATTCATCTAATAGTGGCTAACGGGTACTATTCTAAATACACATCATATTAACATTAATACTTCATATTTGTAACCATGCTAGTCGTTTGACGCTTACTCAAATCTTCCCACATTATTATAACCTAACACCAATAACATGTGAATTCACATGTTACTACGTAGTTGTTGCATCCATCACACCAATTTAAATGGCAAATACTTTATCATTATAACTACTGTTTTTCTAAAGATATAAAAAAAACGATAAGAGATTTTGTGTACAGTATTTCGAAAAAATATATACTTGATAAGGTTTATAGTATTATTAATGTCAAGATTATGACAAGTCACAAATTTCCCATGATCCTAATTTAACCTCAATTTCGATCAGATAATAATCTAAACTTTAATGTTCAATCCCAAAGAATTTAATCAGATATTTTTTAGTTTGATTCATTCTTAATACAGTAAGCGTTGTAATATCCTTAAGAATATATGTATTTTTTCAATTTGTATCTAAATAATATAATTTTGAGATTTATAAGATCAGCAAAGGTAAGTGATAGTAGATTTATAATAAATAAATTGCGATATATATTATACAAATACTTACCGTTACATTTTATCCTTCAAATCTGCTTTTTATATGAGAGTTTACATAAATTCAAATGAAATCATATATATATATAGACATTTATTTTGATTTTCGATACCAATCATCCGGAATATTCCATTTTTTTGCAAACGCACTTGCGTCTTCAAACCTCTTTTTTCTCATCATCGTATTATAAATTAACCCTATAGATTTTTCTGTCGGTAATGCATTAAATTGTTCTTTCATTTGTTCTATATATCTACAACATTCTCGGGTTTTTCCTTTTTCACATAGACAATAAATAATATTTTGAAACGTTGTCGTGTTAGGTGTGACATTGAATTCTGGGAGTAGCATTTCATTATAATATTGATTTGCTTGTTGTAGATTCAAATGTGAACATGAATATCTTATAAGCGTATTGAAAACATAAATGTCTGGTTTAATCTTCAGACGTAACATATGTCTATAACATTCATCCATTGCTTTCAAGTCTCCTTTATAACCATATGCTTTCATCATACATTTAAACGCACGAACAATGGCCCATTTGTGTTGTTCTACTTCTAAATAATCTTCTGTAGAAAATCCAAACTTTAGAATTTTTTGTGCTGATTTTATATCTCGTGCTTCAAAATATAAACGTACTAATAGTGCATATGTTGTCAAATTAGGTTTTAGTCCACTTTTCTTAAGATTTGTTATAATAGAATTAACTTTTTTCAGTAAAGGTTCCCTACGTCGCAAACATGAGGATAAATATGAATTAAACAAATATATTGATGGCTGAAATCCTTTTTCAATTGATTCGATCCACAAGCTATCACAAACCTCACGTAATCGTATTCTACTAAAAACATTCATCATATGTGAATAATCTATTACACTTGGATCATGCCCAACTTCTTTCATTTGATCAAAAATATAAAATAGTTTCTTTTTTAAAAGTGTTGTTTCTGTCTTGGTGAATGGATATTTACCATCTACATCAAACAATTTTAATACAATAGAATGTTGTTGAGGTGATAAAAGATGAAGTTTTCGTGCTTGTTGAAGTTCCTGGTATAATTTCCATGTGGTATTTTGATCACGTGCCCTGACCGCATGAAGGAGAGGTAAAATTTCTTTAGTTGTAGAAATTTCTAAAGGAATATCTAAGCGTTCTTCCTTGGGTAATTCGTATAAAAATGATCGATAAGAAATAGAATTTTTATTTCTTTGAGGTATAGTTGTTAGACGAAACTTTAAGATTTCGTGCCGATGAAATGAGAAACCTAGTTTCATCTTTATTAATTAAAGGTTTAAATGAAGAAATTGAAACTGACGAAAAAATTGTAAAAAAAATCAATAATTTCGATCTAGATCTCAATTTTCAATCTGTTTATGGAATGTGTCACCTCTATCGCTATTGTTCCAAAGATGCTGTCCAAATAAGGTAAGAAAATTTTTTGTGTACAAAATCGGATAACCAATCAAATTTTTTTGTTTTTTAGACAAATTTTGTTTAAGATTTTGACTTATAAATACAAAAAAATATATTAATAATATGAGATATATTTTCTCTACTAAATATACTATTTAAAACATTAACATTGTTAAAAAAAAAAAAAGGTAAATTTAGAGAATGACTATTTCCATCACACTTTTACTAATGTCTCCCACGTGATCTAGCCGATCTTATCGTGTAACATAGTCGTCTGATTAGGGTCGGAAACTCATGAGGGTGGCATTAGCAAAAGTGAGGAGTGGAAATAGCAACACTCTAAATTTATTATATAAAGACTTTTGAGTAACGGTAAGAATAAGATTAACCTTTAAATAGTTTCAATGAACTCAAATACAGTATATTGATTCAATTAAATCTTACTTTAAAACTCTATTCTCCGGCAAGTAATTTGCATGTTATCTGCATATGCAGTATCGTTCCAAGACTAAGCGCTCTTTGTTGTTATAAAGATGCTTAATTATGGATACTCTTTAAATGCAAATACGTAATTAGTTTTATTGAAGCCTGAATATTAGGAATAGGGTTGTTAATGGAGTACTCCAGTCTATAATAAAACATATAACCCACTCCGGAGCACTTCATTAACAACCCTAATTATAGAAATGATTGGTTTTATTTGATATAGTCATAATATAGTTAATTTAAACCGAATAATTAATATATTAAGAGGTTAAAGGGTATAAAAATAGCAAATGTAAATAGTAGAACTTAATATAGTTTTTCTATAGGGTTTGAATGCAGCTAGCTTACAATGAAAAAAAATTTATCTGCCAAGTAAAATTTTCTTGAGTTTCTAATAAAGATTTAATAGTGGTAGAATTATTCAAATTGGTTTGGTAGATCGCGAGTTATTGGCATTTTCTCCTTTATAACTATATGACTTTTACATATTGCTAGAAACTTTCGGCATTCCAATATTATATGAAAGTAATTCTCTGCCGATTTTTACTATGAAATTTATACCCTTCAACGGCGATCTATCACTTAAGTTTTGACTGTAGAGAAAATAAATAAACATGTTTGAAATCTATGATGCGAAAAACAGGAAGGCAAAACCAATATAAAACGCGAGTGTGCTTGTTTTTTTTTTGGATACTATACAAATGTGATGTGTTTAATTTCAATTTCGGAGCGGAACGGTACTCTTTTTCGAAACTCTGATTCTGCATGTAATTCTACTCTACTCGATAACGTATAATTTAATGAAAATCAAATATACATAACTTAGTCTTTTTACAAATTTTTTTTTCTTTTTTTTTGAATAAAATTAATTCGTAAAGCTTACACGTAAAGCTTACACGTAATCGGCGGTTAATTATGTTAAAATAAAGAGTGTAAAAATAATTTTCAATTCTCCTATACCTAAGACATGGTATAGAATATCTTAACATTACATATATAATTTATTTTACAGTACTCTTTTACCTTAAAATTTCTTGTCAGTGTTTGTTCACTCATATTCGTTAATTACAAAATGAAAGAGAAAAAAAGGTTAGTTGTATTTCAAGATGAACTAAATGGAAATTCAACAAATATATATCAAAAAAAAAGAAACCTTATATTCTCATTTAGTTTCTTTCCCCATTGCTTTGAAGAAATCTCTACCAGGTATTATTAAACTACCCTACTTATGTTCCTGACGTCTTACCGATCGATTATTCGTGATCCTTTAAATTATAGGTACAGTAAAACCTTCATAAGTGCATGCTCTTGGAACCGAACTTTAACGATATGCACTTAGAGAACAATAAGAAAAAGTGCAATTATGAAGGTAATCTATATATTTGGGCCTGAATTTATGCGTGCATTTAGAGAGGGTGTGCACTTATAGAGGGGCACTTATGGAGGTTTCACTGTACGTAAAATTTATAAATTTATATATTGTAATAGTATTGATTTAAAATGTTTATTGCAAATATTTTAATTCGAGTTGGTCTCCTTAGAGATGGTGATCGATCAAAAATTTTTTTGATTTTCATATGATCGATCGTTCGTGTTTGATCATGATCATCTTTTCATCTTTTCATTTTTTTTTAACTTATCTTAAATTAGAATAGTGTTCTGAACTAAATTTAATGATTAATGCATTCGATTCTTGTCATTGACAAAAAATTTAGCAAACAATAAGATTGAGTAATTAATCATTGTGTGATCGAGCATCATCTCTAGGTCTTGTACGTTTTTAATAAGAAAAAAAAAGGTATTACTTTACGATATTAATCTGCTATTTAAGTGTTTGTAGTCGATCGTTATTTACCGATTTGACTAAGTCGAATCGGCTTAGCCGACTATGTCGGAGTCGATTATCCTAAATTCGGAAGTTTTCGGAGATTTCTCAATTTTTGTCTTGTTCTTTTCGCCTATTTTCGGATCATATTATAAATTGCCCTAAATTTTTATTATAATCTATATAAAGTAGGGCTTTGAAAATGCCCATGCCAGCAAATTGGCATCATGCCAGGCACTATTTCCTCATGCTATGCCTATACCTATAGGCTCAAAAGTGCCAGGAATTATTATGAGCATGGGCACAAATGTCAGGCATTTTATAAGCATGAGCACAAATGCTAGGTACTTTATAGGCATAGGCACAATATGCTAGGCAAAAAGATGCCAGGCACAAGTGCCAAATAGTACCAAACATATAATTAATTAATAAATACTAAACTTTTGTGCCAATGTCTATGCTCATGTCAAATTTTTGTGCCAATGTTCATGCCCATGTCAAAGCTTTCATGGTCATGTCTAAATTTTTGTTAGGCATGGGGTTGCAGACCCCTAATATAAAGTTGACTAAGTCGATATTTTGAAATTTTGGTTATCTAAGCCGGTTAGGCCGATTTTTTGACTATTGCAAAATCGACTACAAACGCATTACAAACTACTACGTATTAGCAAAAAGCTGACAGAATTTATTTCTCGCACCTTGTCGATCCTCGTCTGTTTGACTATGATAAAGTGGCTTTTAGGGGTTGTTTTTTTTTCAATAGCTTTTCAAGTTATTTATATAAACATGCGCCCACCATTCACTGGAAAGACACTCTTATAATCATGATTTTTTTACTACGCTATCTCATTGGCTAATCTGATGTTAAATGTCCAATACTCCATATATAAATTTTAGAGAACTACAAATTATTGACTATTCTGTTGTAAATTAAATATAAAGTAAAGACCATCTCCATCCTTAGATGAAGTTATTCACGGTCAATAATTTTAATGGCCGCTCTTGTCGATTTAAATTTATGACTTTAACTAATTAAATTTAAGAGATTTAAAAAGAAACAATTATATTACTTTATATAGGACTCGTCCTACTATAAGTTATACGCATTTCATGTAGGATACGTAGTCTATGTAAGAAATTCAAAAATTTCATAAAATGCCCATTCATAAAGAAAACAATATCGATCATTAAAGTTTGACTTGGAGTTTATGATGAATTAGCAATTAAAATAAAACGGTATATTGAAGAAAGTTCATCTTCTGAAGTTACTAAACACAATGAAACATCCATAAATGCACCCTTTATGAGTGCACACCCTCTCTAAAGGCATGTTTAAATTCTGGCCCAAATATCTACATAAATGCTCTTTTTTATTGTTCTCTAAGTGAAAGCCATTAAAGTTCGGTCCTAAGAGCGTGCACTTATGGAGGTTTTACTGTATTTATTATTTGTATTTTTAGAAGTAAAGTTTACAGGATTAATATTGTTTTCTGTGTTTACAATTTATATCGTGCAAGATCATTATTTACTCTTATGCTCGTACCACTATAACGGTTGGCTTGAAATAATGATACAAAATATATTTGAAGCGTAGCTCCAGTCACAACTTGTGAACAAAAGGTCAAATTCGGAAAATCTGCCGTATTAAAACATGACAGTTATATATATTTTTTAACTTGACAGTAAAGTCAACATCACAATCAGTTTAAAAGATTCCGCATTGCCGTAATAATATGACGCCTAATCCTGCAGCATGACTTACATTCTCTCGTATGCTAAACATTACGTACTTAGATTAACCCACTTATTATCATTTTGTTGTAATTTTTACGTGTAAGTTCCAAGACCTATTACAGCTGTTATCATTATTCCTGGGACACCTTGTAAAAAAGTAACTGAGTGATTGTTCTGCCGATTCGATGTTTATTATTTACAAAGATGGTCTAAAACCAGGTACGTACTGTACATATCAATATATACGTAGGTGCTAATCGATTTGCAGTGACAATTATTAATCGATAATGACCAGATAACCGATATCGATATAACTCTAGTTAAGTATTATATTAAAATTTAGGAGGTTACAACTGCTAAACACTTAGGTGTTAGCAGGGAATCTAATTTTGACAGGAATGGATGACGTATGTATTTACAAATGAGCGATGTATCAACTTTATTTAATTTTCAGATAAATTTGAAATGAGTGCGTGATAGTGAAAACTTGGAAACCGATCATAGTAAATCATTAAATCGGTTTCCAGGTTTTCACTATCACACACTCAAATGATGATTTTTTGTCTATTTATTTAATTTACAGATAAATTTGAAATAATGATTTTTTGTCTATTTATTTCATTGTCCGATTTTAAAACTTTTCAAACTCCTATTTAATTTCAAAATGCGCCTCTTATTTGCTGACTTTGAAACCCACTAATTTCAAAGATATGGATGTGTTGAAAGTCTTCCGCCACTTGTAAGAAATCATGTCTATTAAACCTGGTACGTCCGTAATCTGTGACAGGTTAAGTCACTAATTCCAATCCCCATTCGATTATATTCCCAGAGTAAGACTTGACTGTCATAAACTATTAAAAAAAATGAAATATAAATTCAAAAGTTGCCTTTGGATATTAACAAATATTATAGTTACTTTTTAAGCAAAGCAAACAATATGTCGTTTCTTTAATCGTGCTATTGTTCAACACATTCTTACTTAAGAGATACTTTTTTTTACTTACTTCTACCTCTCTCAAATGAAGATAACTAAAAGAGTTGAATTTCATATCATTTATTCATGAACTCATATTTTCGCAGTACTGTTGATTGAACAGTCACAACTAAAATTATAAAGAAAAATTTTTGAAAGATTTTATTTTTGGTTCATTACACTGATCTTTGAATTTATCTAACACAGTTCGTAATGTTAGCCTAATATTTTAACAGTTTGAATTAATAACTAGTATATTAGTTAATTTGTCAGTTTTTGAGATATGTTAGCACTGCTGATGTGATTTGTAAAATTTATTTAATTTAAATACAATTAAAAATTAAAATTCAATTGAAAAGTATATTTAAAAGCTTCTCTTATATTAATTATATATACTTTAGATTAATGCAAATAAAATGAAATTAATAACAAATTTGTCAGAGTTTTGTCATCGTTGGATTTGGTTTCTATCTTTTGTCATCATCATATGAAGTTCGTTTAACTAAATTCTTTTTATAAAAAAATTCGCATTTTCAATGTCACTTATATAAAAGAAAATTAAAATTAGAAATGCATTACATTTCACAATAAGCATAATCAAACAAAAATAAATTAAATTAAAAAAGATGATAAATACAAGAATACATTGACAAAGTTATTATTATATAAGAAAAGGTCGTAACCGATTTCCTCAACCAGAATCGGTGGACCTTTTTGGCGAAGAATGGTATATAACTGATCCCTTCTCCTCCCGCCACATAAATCAGTCGACCTTTTTTCACCTTACTTATATACAAATTTTATGTCTAGTATTTGTAAATTTCATCCAAATAATTGTCAATAATATACTTACTTTTTCATTCAAATATTTCGCATAAAGGTCTAAAATTAGCGTAATTGGAATAGTTAATTTTTTTAAAAAAAAACTAAGGTACTGTACTTGATAAATTAGTATTAGTAAACACGAACAAAAATAAATCGACTACGTATGAAAAGGTTTCTAATCTGATTGGTCAATATTGATCACATGACTGCATGCCACTGTCATAAACTATTAAAAGTTGCCATTTGATTTTGACTAAACAATATATTGTTTCTTTAACCGTGCTATCATTCAACACATTCTTACTTAAGAGATACTTTTTTTACTCAATTCTACCTCTTTCGAATGAGATAACTCAAAGAACTGAATTCCATATCATTTTTCGTGAACTCATATTTTCGAAGCATTTTTGATTGAACAGTTGCAACTAAAATCATCAAGAAAAATATTTGGATGATTTGATTTTTATTTCATTACATTGATTTTTGAATTTATCTAACACGGTTCGTAATGTTGACCTAATATTTGGACAGTTTGAACTAAAAATAATGTGATTCCAGAAATATCGTTCTCATCCATTTTCTTAATTCCGTTTTATAAGTTTTTTAAAAAAAATACATATCCAAATTTGTATAACCTGCGAGGCATTTGAAGGACCTTTTCGTACTAAATTTATTATATAAACTTTATTAAATAAATTGGTTCTTTTTTACAGTAAATATTATTAGAAATCGATAGGTTATTTAAACACTTTACTCATGTTAGATAAAAAAAAAAAAATGTTAATTTATAAAATCGTAAACAAATTCAATAATAATCAAATATAATCAAATATAATCAAATCGTTTTTTATAAATGGCTTTTTTATCATAATTTAAGGCATAGTCGGACGGTGATTGAAATAAGTGGCTTAACCTGTCACAGGTTACGGAGTGCTTAAACCTGAATGATATAAAATATCTTAAGGCTTTAATAGAAGAAAAGCCTAACTGATATTTCTAATGGAACGCATTGTAGTTTCACGTTTATAAATCGATTAGCACCTTCGTACGTACCAGATGTTAGACTATCTTCGTAAATAATAAACATTACATTGATCATGCCGAACTCAATAATTTATCGAATCGGCATTCGGTTAATTTTTCATAAGGCGTCTCAGGAATAATGATTAGCTGCTCGATACGTAAGTATCGAAGCAGCTTTTGTCTCGAATCATGTGTTATCCGATTGAACATGTGATAGGTCCTTTTACGGTCACATGTTCGATCGATTGTCAGTTAATCGAACGAAAGTATGAGGTAATTTGAGTTGTTAGTAATAAGATCATTGATCAGAGTTTGATCAATGTAAGTAGTTTGTTAGTAAGTTGGAGATAATTGAGTAATTATGAGGTAATTGAACAATTATGAGGTAATTGAGTAAGTATGAAGTAATTGGAGGGTAGTATATTAGGAAAAATAATTTTGTCTTTTCTGCGCCCCCGATTTTCGTTCTGGTTACTTCGATCCAACCCACCCTTTCCGGGATTTAAGCACTGGTTAAGTGATCTGACCTGCTAGGTCGGCAGTCTTACTTGAAATAAGGAGGGAAAAGGATGTGTAAGATATTTAGTTTACAGTTATTTTGAGTTGCAACCTGTCCGGACGACAGTTGCAATGGTAAGTTGACCAGTCGGGACGACTGCTAGCAATAATTAGATTAGCAATAGTAAAATTGATGTTAAGAAAGAAAGCTTATATTAGTCAGCCGATACTCGCGAAGGCTGCATAGGTTGCTCGATGATGGAAGAGACATACCCGTTTAATGATCTTTATAGTTATAAGTATACGGAAAATGAGAGACAAAACAAATAACAGCTGTAAAATATATGAGACCTGCATGGGCCCGGCCGAAATTAAAAAAAAAATTAAAAGCCTCACAAAGTTGCGGGCCTAGTATGTCAAAAATATAGTAAAATGCAGGTCGAGCTTTTGAAAAACATAATAAATTTTTTTAGGCCCGTTCCGGTATATATATATATGTATTTCATGTTTGCATCAACTTCTATCCCAACTTCGATACAAAAGAATCTACATGGGCGATTCAATGGACATGGGTATTTCAGAGCTCACTTCCGCAACGTGACTTACATTGTTGCACATTATAATTTTGCAGTTGTCACGTGCAAATCCTAAGACCTATTAAACTCTTTAAAATCCCAAGTCCCGTGGAAAAATCCAACAATTCCAAACTGGACAAACTTATTTAGGTTGTTGTAATCCCAAACTCTGGCCAAATCCTAAACCCCATCTCATGTTTCAAGCCCCATCCCATGTACCAAACCCGTGTCCTAAATCCCATCCCCATGTTCCAAATCCCGAATATTGTATAATGACTAGCAATATAACTCAACCCTTTTTGGCGCAAATTAAAATCATTATAATCGGGATTTGTGATTAGGTAGGTTAGTCATGGCAGAAAAATGTCGCGGTGACATGATCACCGACCACTTCCGACCTGATTATTTAAATTATGTATTACGATGAAATGATTATTAACAGTTAATAATCTTTTCCAAAATAATACGTAAATTGTACTATCAGGTCGGAAGTAGTCGGCGATCACGTCACCGCGACATTTTTCTGCCATGACTTACCTACCTTTTGTGATTCTACTGAAACAAAAATATACTTATATATAATTTTATAATAGTTACGTCATAGAGTACATCAGAATAGAATTGTTATACACGATAATAATTCTATTTCGACATATGACATCATTATTATAAAATTATAGGTGTATTTTAACAGGAGGAAACGTACCCGATCCAAAGTGAATCCCACACGCAGTGTGATCAATTAAACCTCAAATTATTTATTTTAGCTTTAATTGATCACACTGTGTGTGGGATTCACTTTGGATCGGGTACGTTTCCTCCTGTTGTGTATTTTTGTTTCAGTAAAATCCCAAATTCCCGATCAAAAGGGTTGACTATATTTGGGATTTTGAATTTGGGATTTGGGACATGGGATGGGGTTTGAAATTTGGCCAGAGTTTGAGGTTTGAAATTTTGGATTAGGATTTGTCCGGGTTTACCTTATGGGATTTTAGACATGACCGGACAATCCGGTTCGTCCATGGAAAACCCTCAAATCTCAAAAGTTTGTCCGGTAAGTATACATATACCAGGTTGGTGAAAAGTAATTGGACAGTGACCTTTTTACTATCTTCGCTAATATTGAATTTCTATAATTATTTATTAAATCTACATAATACTGTGTATAAACGTTAAGTGTAATCAATAGTATCTTAGCGATTAAGGTCAAATATATTTTCTTAAACATATACGTTTTCCTAAAGTCTATTTTATTTACTATACTAAGACCACTCCAAATTGATTCTTCGTTTAACATAACATTAAATAGTTCATAATAGTGGGAGAAGGGTATAAAAATACATAAATTAAAAAAAAAATACACAGCAATTCTATTGACTGTAAACAATATGAAATATATAAAATTCCAATACTGCAATTGGATTGGTTAATGTGATGTGTATTTTTTCATAAAATTTTGAAAAATAAAAGAGGATTACCATTTTTTGAGATTGCCACATCTCTGTTAATAAAAATCAATATAACTTATTAGGTTTTGTTAGGGTTTGAGTTAGAATTAGCAGGAGTATGGCAATATCAAAAAAGAGTGTAAAAATATATCAATTTTCTTTAATTTAACCATTTTTATTTCTTATAACTAACTTTATTTTTACATATTTGTTCTTTATATTATGTTTTAAAACATTACATAATGTTAATCCTGTAATTTAATACCCTGTAAAATATTAACTGTAAAGTGTTACAAAACTAATAAATCTATTAATTCTAACAAATATATTAGTTCAATATATATACTAAGCATGATAGAAATTCTAGTCCGAATGAAAGTATTAGGTTTAGTGAAGTCAATAGAAAACTTAGAAATAGTACAACTAGTAGAAATTGTAGTAGAAGGCCATAGTGTCTAAAATGTATAAATAGCCTTGCTATTTTTCTTGTAAAGTTCAGTTCGACGCAACAATAAATAGTAATCGTATCTTCATAACTGAAAAACCGAGTATTCTATTGAATAAATATAAACTTGTTATGCAATTACTTGTAACAGCAAATCACTTAAAACGTAATTGCAATAAACTTTATATTTTACTTAAGCATGATACGGCAATTGTTATCAATCGCCCAACATATCCCATCGCTAAAATAATTAATTATAACAATACATAGTTCAGCAAAATGTTTTATCTATTTCTAAAAAATATGTTTATTTTTATTAATTTTTTTTTTACTAAGTCAAGTACATTCGACCATTTAGCAATAATATATATGTAAAAATTTTACCTTCTAAGTAAAATACCTCTAGGTTGTGGATTATTTTGAGATGGTTTTAATTTTCACTTCTTACTTGTAACATATTATTAAAAAGTACTCTAAACTGTATAAATATAATAGTAATTGATTGAATAATCAGAAGAATTTCGCAACATTGCTTGTTTTTTATGTTTATTTATTTTCTTGAATTTTTCGAAACCTAGAACTTCTATTACTTAATTCCACCTGACATTAGAGATGGTAAAAATCATGATTTAAATCAAATTCTGTAATTTAAATCATTTGATCTTTATTACGTAATCGTTAGTTTGTGATCTTAGCATTAGGCATAGCTTTACTAAAGATTATCGTTATGTACAGTACATAGATATATATTGTTTTAACGTAAATTATAATCAATCCTCGCCGTCTTCAAACCAAATATCTTCACCAATACATTAAGAATTCTTAAATTATGATAAACGTTTACAAATTTCTTCACCTGGGTATTGTCTAAACGTGCGTGATAATTATTGTAGATAATCTCGAAGTTAGACCAACATAGTTTTGCAGAGGCAGATGAAAAAACCTGGCAGGCAAATTCAACAACAATTGAAAATTTATTTAAATAGTTTGACCTCCAACAACTGACCAGACTTGAATATTCAATAGATGCTCAGAGTAATTATCCATCAAATTCTTATGTGTACCACATTTTCAATATACCGGGTGTTTGATAAGTCCCTAGACATGACTTTTTTTAATCACTAAATAAAATATTAAATAAATTATTATACTTTATAAAAAAATGCAATAATTGGTATCTTTTTATATAACGATAATAAAAGCTAATACTAGCGGAGATATAAAAATCCTGTTTAGAGAATTATCAAACACCCAGCATAAACCCTATTATTTTACCAATTTACGACTTAAATGATTTAAATCATGGTTGAAATCATGGTTTAAATCAAAAATCAGTGATTTGTATCATCGTGATTTAAATCGTGTGCATCCATCAGGGACACAGAAATATTCTTTAGATTTAAAGCAAAATTTTGATCGATTTAGACAAAATTTCGACTTTGGCTAGAATTAAGCTTCAAGTCAGTAACTCTGGCTTGAATTATTAAGATCACGTGGTTATTTCGAATTTCGCTGTACTATAAATTTTAATATTTGTTTTGAGCAAATAATATCATTTTCATGTGATTTATTTTTATATGTAACTTGGATCGATTTGGGCAAAGAAAATTTCGTGTTCCTGCCTGGCCTGGCCTAAATTATGCTATTTACAATTATGTAAATTTCGCCAAAAAATTTCACTGCTAGATTGAGGTTCGTTTTGCTGTTAATAAAGTCTAAATTTCACAAGGAAAACTTTTTGTTAACGCGCAGAAGGTGGTTTCATAGATGAAATGTTGAGTTATGAATAGGGATGGACTCAGTCGGTTATTTTCGGCTTAGTTGACCGGCTAAGCTGAAAATAACCGGTTTGTTTTGATTTTTGCGTTTCTGACCTTGAAATCTGAAATTTTTTAGGTTGGTAACCTAAGGGTTTACTTTTTTTGTTGCATTTATGGTTAGTGGTTTATAAAAATATCAAAAATTTCATTGGAATATTGTTTTTGATTTTCAAATTGGATTATATTCATTTGGTTTTTATAATCTTGAATTTTACTATTTTTTAATATTATATTTTTATGTTTCTGGCCTCTAAAATTTTTTGTTTTATTGGAAAGGTCATTCAATATTTTTCTTGTAAGAATAACAACCTCTTAATGATTAAATAAAATATGTTTCATAAATACTTCTGAATAAAAAGCCTGTAATTTTTTTAAATATCATAAATACCGTTCGTATTTCATATTTATATACTTCAAAGTATTTCTTAGCAATTTTATTTCATCTTCTTTCTCCTAAATAGTTAATAAATGGTAAAAGATATTACTACAGTTATTAAAGTATACCTTCAGTTTTATTTACAATTTTTTCATAAGGTGATTTCTTTGAGAATTTATTAAGTGCAAATTGTTTCATGATATGTTACGTAATTTTTCATCAAAAATATTTCTTGTAACTGTGATATTTCCGTTTTTGAATATAATACTTTCTAATCCATTGCAAGAATCCTCTAATAATCTTGCATTAAAAAAACCTCTTCTAGGAGTGAATTAATTTTTTCGTCTGGTTCCATCTTAATAATAAATTTACCTTGATAAGCAAACCAACACGTGATTTTATATTTATCAAAATAATCACATAAATCAATTAACGCATAAATTTAGAGAAGGGCCAGAGTTACGATAAGATAGGTCAGAATTAAGTAATTGTCCGAAGCGTAGCAACTGACACTCAATTTTTACGCACTATGTGATACAAAAGTTACGTTTTTGATGCGTTTGACCATGAAAAATTCGTTTTAGATGCGCCAGTATAATTGTCCGAAGCGTAGCGGAGGACATTTAATGATTATGCATGGTGATACAAAAGTTGCGTTTTTGATGCATCAATAGTTATGTTTTTGATTAATGTATCAAAAACATAATTTTGCAATATGATGATCATGTGCTTCGGACACATTAACCTAGTTACATTAAATAATTAGCAAAGTGATACAAATGTTACTTCTTGATACATAAAATGTTACGTTTTTGATGTAATTATTAGTTTAATTCATAATATCGCATCAAAAAAGTAATTTGAAAATTTTCTGTCTGTCCATTGCATATCACGTGACCACTTTATTTGCGAAACGATCACTTTATTTGCACTTAAATACAAAACAAAAACCACAGATCGATTTTATTTGTCCGGAGCGTAGTGAAGGACTATATTATTATGTAAAGGGTGATATGCAAGGTTTGTTAACTACCCGTCAAATTTTCACTTTCACGTGATGATTATCCAATAGCGAGTTTCGTTTTAATGTAACGTTACACAATCGGGAAGATCAAAATAAAACGTTCGCTTTTCAAAAATCGCTTATTTCTCAAAAACTTGCATACGAAACCACCTTTGCGCTCTAACAAAAAATTCCTCGAGTGATTTTACTATTGCCTCTTTAAAACCTAGCCCTATTATAAACGCTAACCCTAACTTAAACGAATTTAAAGATTTTTAAACGCTGTCACGTGAAAGTGAAAATTTTGACGACGATACTGGGTAAGATGGTTTGTTTGTCCGGTCACATAACGTGAAAATCGTCCAACCAAATAGTATCACATTTATAGTATCAGTGGGTGCGTTAAATTATATAAACCTTTCTTAAAATTATTTATTTATTATTTTTTTACTATTCTTTTTTAAAAAATATGCCAAATGTGACGTTCCTTGTGCTGTTTTTTGAAAATGAACCCAATATGGGCTTAGGTCGTTCGGTTCGTAAAATTTGAGCTTATTTATATTTTGGATTTTTTAAAAAATTTTTATTTAATTTTATAAAAGCTTGCTTGAGATCCTATATCTAAGGATTTCATTTAGTACTTTGAGGTAATTATTTAGAAGCTTAGGATGCAAGACACCTAAGCAGTAAAGAGTGTTAATAGTGACTGTTTTTATTAGTAGCCCTTTATTTAAATATACAACATGCCGAACTCTAGAGCTTGGAGAACCTTTTTTGGATAATTTGCTTCTGTTTATTAGGACTTTGGTTAATATTTTATGCTATTGAACAATGTTATACATGTTATCTATTGCATATATTCTACTTAGAATACAATTTCGGGTTGTTATAAACCTAGTCATAAGATACACCACTACATGGTAACTAGGACAAGCAAGCCAATTATTTAGCTGAAACCAAGTATCCTTCTAGGTAAATGTTTTAGTATATATTAGTTTTGTATTTATTATTAATATATAATTTTTGATTATAGTATTAATTTGTATTGTCGCAGGCTATACGATCTAATAGGTTTTTTTTTTGTTTACATTTTTTTTTCTTTTTACTAATTTTATTTTTAGAGTGCAATTTTTAAAATAGTTATTGTTTTTGGGTTTGTCATTGTTGTTATTAAAATTGTTGTCGTCGAAATCGTTGTTGAAATTGTTACCAAAGTCGTCATTTGTTGGTGCCTTTCTTGGTGCAATTTTCAAGTCTTGTGTTGCTGTTTTGAAGTTTAGATTTTTATCATTAGTAGGGATCGTTAAGTGGATTTAGAAGTTTTATATAAAACCAGCATTTTGAAGTTTATATATATGTTGTAGGATAGTTCGGAATTTTGTGAATTCGGAATCCATTTAAGTGAATTTCGAATCCAGAAACAACTTAAATTAATTTTGGATCTTAAAAATATCAATCATAAATCATACATATTTAAAGAATTGTACTGTATTTTGACCTAAAAATACTCTTTTAAGACAAGTTTAGCACTTGCTAGACGTAAAACATTCATTTCATACCCAATTACGAACTTATTATCGAGTCTACTAATACAATTGTAGAACTCTAAAAAGTTGATATTGGATTAAAATTCTTTTAGCTACGGAAGTTAAGAATTGCTATTCAATAACTATTGTATTGAAATTTTGAGAGTAGATTATAATGCCATTGACCGGTCTACTTTATCTTGTAAAATAATCAAGAAATTGTCGAATGAAACATATTACTTATAATGTAAAATAGAATATTTGATCATGCCTATAAGTTGAGTAAAAGTATATCGCTGGGATCAACATAATATGAAAAAGCTTAAAAATTAATTAAGACAAATTATTAGTGTACGAAAAAGTCATAAAAATGTAGTTCATTCCTACAATAACCGGCACAAATGTGATTCTAAGATTGATAAAAAAACAATTCTTGTAGATGTTCTAATTTAGCGGTTGTCATCCATAATATTAAATGTAAGAAGTGAACATCTTTAATATAATACAATATGTTAACTATAAATTATATTGTCGAAATTTATATTGCTTATAATTTTTAAAATTCTATTTCCACTTAAGTTGTTTTGAGATTCGAATAGAGGTGGGCAAGGTAATTACTTATTACGTATGTTAGTAAATTGTCGTATAATGTGATTTGATTTTTTACGTAATAAGTAATTACCTTGCCCATCTCTAGATTCGAAGTTGATTCAGAATCCGTGGAATTCCGAATCAACCTTATTTATACTGTATTTGAGTGATGAAAAGGGAAAACCTGTAAATCATTTCACTTATTGAGTGAGACGGTTTACAGGTTTTCCCTTTTCGTCACTCATTTGAAATAGCGATAGGCTATTGGCAAAAATGTCATTTGAAAATGAAAAGTGGCTTTTAATATTAAATACAAATGAACAATTAAAATTGTATAACAAAATAAAATAAAAACAAAAACAAGGATATTAAAAATTTGGCCAAAAACAAATTAAATATTAACTTTAGATAAAGTGCTAAAATTGTAAAAAAGTTACATATATAGTTTAGGGTCCTCATTATCATCAGAGCTACCAGATTTTAGTAGCACTAGTGATATCGCGACAACCGCATAACCAAATCTTACCAAAATTGGTTTATTTTGTTTTATAGCAATTTCTGTCAGTGCTATCTTAAACGCCACTAAAATCTGGTAGTTCTGATCTTCATTCATTCAAATTTAATAATTAGGTGTAATGTGAGAATCTCAAACTAATGAAAAAATTTGGGTATACCCATTTAAATTTAATTTAATTGCACTAACTAAACTTAATAACGATAATAAATCTTTATATGCTGTATTTTAAATTACGCATTCGATTGATTGGATTTTTTAATTGGACGTAAGTCACATGTCCCCAATATTTTCGGATTAAAAAAGCTTACATTTTTATGATCTTATTACTATATATAGTTTCATTACGCACTACGAAGTGCGTCATTTATTATTTGTTTTTTGACATTTCTTATCGTTATGGTAAAATCATATAGACAACGTCTAACCCATCTTCCCGTGAAAAAGATTGGTTAGACATTATCTATACGATTTTACCATAAGAAATGTCAAAACAACAGAGATATTTTCACACCCTTTTTTGATTTTGCCACACAGACCTTCCTTTAAATGCATATTACGTATAACAAGCTTGGAACACATAAAAATTTATATCATATATTTCTATAACTGCATAAAATAATTTTTAAAATAATTTTATAAATTAGCACCTCTAAAGCCGTTCGAAGTTGATTCTTCGGTTAATATCACCCCTCCAGCTGAAGACTCCCCCGAGAAATGAACAACTAATCAAAATGCAGGATAACTCTCTTGATTTACATCGACCAATCAAATTGTCTCATATGTGTTCATTCTATATCGATATGTTCTAAAATTGCAAGCAAACATATACATAGTTTTTAAAGCATACTGTAGTAAGAAACCAAATTTACTATGAAAATTTTCTTAGCGACTCAATCTTAATTTACATTAGATCTAATGCTATCACCACACAAGGTTAATATGATTCGTTAGCGTCGCCCACAAAAAATGGTAGCCGGACAGATCTGCCGGGTACAAGTTATTATGTGATTCGGATTTGATTATGGACAATTCAATTAAATATGGTCTCTAAGTTTTTCAAAAGAATTTTTTTAATGAATAACATGAATCGCTTAAAATTTTATTGTTTATACGTTTTCTTTTGGTTATATTTGTAGGTAAATTCGATTTTTTTACAAGCATTTGTTTTTTATTTCTATGTTGGTAATAATTTCGAAAGATATCGATATGCTTCATTTAATACTATAAAAAGCGTTTATGAGACTAAATCAATAATGCAAAGGTTAATTACCAAAAAATATTCGATGTTAAAATAAATTGTTATTTTATTATCGCTCTAAAAATATTTGAATTTTAGATAAATTTTTTTGCAAGATAATATTTTATAATTGTCGTGTCAGGTTGTTCTTGATTATGATAATTTAATTTGGTTTCGACATTGTAACCATTTTTTTTTTACTTTGATTCCTTTTTCATTCAAAAAATCTTCATTATTTTGAATAGTATAACATCCTGTATAGGATTTGGGTTATTAATCTAACATTGTAAAGAACGACTTATCGTTATAAAAAAAAATTTGTTGATTTAAATGTGCTAATAATCAAAGAAAAAAATTTAAAAAACTACAAGCAAAATTCATACAATTACCCGGCAGATCTGTCCGACTACCATTTTTGCGGGTCGTTGATTCGTTAGCTATTTATCATACGTATGACCGATTGATTTTCAAAAATTTTTTTATGCTCATCAGATTTCTGATAATTTTCGCGATTATCATCTATCACTAAAATTTAGCGCAAAAAAAATGGGTAAAGCCCAAAGAAAAAAGAAAGTAAAGCCAATAAAGTCAAATCCGATAATTGATGAGTCTGTTTTTACGAGTTTAGATGAGAATGATACTTTAAAGCTACAAAATATTCTAGAAAGTGGTGATACTTTACCCGTGATAAAGCAGGTTTGCTTTTCGGTCCTTTTCCGTGAGATTTGCTTTCACAAATTCGCCGTTTGTCCCTTTTCAAAACGCCCAGGATATGTCAATTTTTCTTAGCAGACCTTTACAATAGTTATACTCACCTGACGCTAAAGAACGTGCGTGGGCTTCAAGTTGTTCTTCAAATCTCATATTGGGTGACAGGAAGATTCGTCGTTTACTGTTATCACAAAATCTTATTAGTGCTCTCATTGAGCGATTGACTGATGATTACGAAATAACACAAGAAGCTCTTGGTACATTAAGGTAATACACGTGCTGTACTGTAAATTGTCAAATCTCATTCTCACGTGACTATTATAGAAACCTCACGGTCGTTGGTGAGCATGAGATCTGTGTCGAAATGTACAGTAAAGATATAATTACCCCACTGATGGCATTACTTCCAAAGGTAAAAGGATTTCTGAATTTATATTTCATTAAACATCGTAGATTAACAACTTTCAATTTATCTAGGTTTCTGAAATTATCGATAATATTCTAAGAGGAGTTCCTGTCAAATCAGATCCAATTGCAGATGCAAGAAAAACTATATGGAAATTTGCGGAAAATATTATCTGTATATTTTGGGCATTAAGGTATAATTTTGCTACGAAATAAAGTTATTGTTAAATTGTTGCTTTTGTTATAACTATTTTTTCTTCAACTATCCCCCAATTTTTTAAACCATAATGTTACACAGCGAAACATCCCAAGAAATACTTAGAAGCATAAATAATACGAATATTGTTCCATTTTTAATGTCTTGTCTTATTCAGTCTAATGCCATTCCCACCAACACTGTCGTTGCTGCTGGTATGTGAATAAAAATACGATAAAATCGTACAATTACTGATATCTTCTGACAACGTATTTTTCTTCAAACATAAAGCCCAATGTCTACACACTTTAACGGACGAAAATCCAGACATCCATATTCATTTTCAGCAGAATCAACAATATATACAATCGTTATTAAATATCATCAAGTTTGATGAAAGTAATCCCTCGTCAACCGAAAATTTGTTATTTATCAAAGTTCTATGTTGTGGTATTACAAACATACATACTCTCTAAATCGTTTCAACCATGATGAATATGCTTTTAAGAAAACATTTGAAATTTACAGGAATTCTATCGAATATTTGTTCCGTTGTCGATCTTTCTACATCAAAATCGGAGTCCACTTTGTATCTAAATGATTATTTGATACCGGTATTAGTATCTTGCTTGACTTTCGACATTAACAAAGCTGCGAATGAAGCTATAGAGAACGTTTCAGAGATTGTAAACATCTTTTTCGTATATTTGATGACTATAACGCTTTTCTGAACTTTTACTAATAAAATTGTAATCTTTTGGGGGAATTAGGAAAATGCGCAAGATTCAGAACCAATAAAAGAACACCCAAAATTTACAATACCAACGGCAGAAGTAATCGATCACCATAATATTTATAGTCGATCTTGCATATTAATTCAATTTTTTAATCATAAATCTGTTAACAGAATAATCTAAACAGTATCAATGTACGACTAACGACTTTACAACTTGCTCTCGAAATTTTAACCAAAATTTTTTTGGATTGTTTTTCCAACGGTAAAATATTGTAATTACAATGTTATTTACATATTTATAACCAATTACTAAAATTATTAATTATTTTTTATATCATAATAAAGATGGTGACGATGATGGGTGGCAAGATGAGCCTCAAGAAGACAATGATATTATGTCCGCTAATGTTAAAGAAGATACTAACATAATGGAAGATATCATTATGATGAATGGGAGTCAACCTGATAAACAATCAAAAATTCATTCGATATTAAACACTTATGCTACCATTATTCTACCCAATCTTTTTAAATTGGCCTGCCCAACACATTTATCATTCCCAGAACAACTTGGTCCTAACGTGTTGTCGATGCCCTCAGCTACTCCAGAGATCACTTCATCGCTTGCAACTGTGCATTTGAGAGCCATAGAATGCATTAATAATTTTCTTTTAATAATGGTAGATAATGTCGAAGATAAATGGTGGTTTACGCAGCATCGAGACGATGCTAAACAAACATGGGCATTTCTATTTGAATTGAGTGGTCAAATCACTGGAAAAGGAATAGGTGAACCAGGACAAGAAAATAGAGATAAAATTCTGGATGTATTAATAGGATGCCTTTGGACTTTGACCAGAGGGTTAGAAGGCGATGTGGTATGGATCTAGGGTTTAATGATTTTTATTCATAATAAACATACTAAATTTTTTTTCTTCAGCCTGTTACTGATGACCAAATTCATGGTTTGATTGGTTGCTATGAGTTAGATGTATGTAATACAATGCGTGTAAAAGTAATTGGTACATTAGGTGTGATTGCAAGGCGACAAAATGCTATAAACGATAACAAGGTTTGGTTTAATTGTTTATTGTGATTGTTTATTTTCTTTGAGCATTTAAGATAATCTCTGACATTCAATAGCTGATAGGAACGTTCCTACTCAATATCCTAAGCTCTTTAAAAAATGATTTGGCGTCTCCGGAATGTGTAATCGAAGTTCTTAATGCTATATATGACATATATGCTGACAAAGATTTTGATTATGATGAACCAGTTTTTGTTCAAGGTGGCTATCTACCTTTACTCGAAAGTATGGTTGATGCAGTTCGTAAAATGGTTAGTATAAAGTCAAAATAAACCTAAAAAAAACTTCAATCAATTTCTGATTTTCATATAATCTCGCAGACGAAATCTATTGATAAGAGAACGACACGTGATTTACGTCTTCGCGCGGATGAAGCTTACGAAAATCTTATTGCGTTTATAAAGTATAAAAGAGATGAACAACATAACTAGACAAATATAGATATTACCAGCCTGATCAAAGGTTGAATTATTTTGTGATTAAATATTTTATTACGTAAATATTTTTTTAAAAATCTTATTTTGTGTAATATTAATAATGTATGGGCGTTATTTCGCGCAAATACAATATTGATCAAAATATATATGTTGTGCCTCATACTGGTTCAAATAAATATTAGCTTGTACATACGTACCTACGTACGAGGAATTCTAATGCAGTTATAATCAACTTTATACCAATTATGTATTGTTGAAACTGTACAGTCGCACTCGGGACCATAGTAAAAAAAAACAAAAGTGCACTTAGAGGGATGTGCATTTAGAGAGGTTAAAATCTATAAGCGTTTCCATATTCTATCGTAAATAAGCACCATCCCTCTACCTTATTTTTTAAATGTCAGATTAACGGAGATATTTACCGCTAATCTGACATTTAAAAAAAACGGACAGTGCTTATATTCTACGGACAGAGCAGAATCATGTGATTGGTTAATTGGTGATGAATTTTAAAGGTAGCAGTCAACAAATATGTATCCTTGTACAAGTGTATTAATTAAGGGATCGACGATCATTCAACATCTAAACTTTCTATTTATTTGATGAAAAAATCGTTTTTAAGGCAACGTTGTTCTATTTGGACATCCTTACAATGCAAAGTATATTATTATATTTCTAAAGGATCTTCAACCAAAGTTACACATTTATTGATACTGATACAGTATGTTTTTTAATTATAGTATTTTATTATACTTTTATTTTATTTTGTAAAAAAATATAAGCATGGATTTAGAGGAAAAAAATAATTCAATGAATAAAACTTTTTTAATAACTTAATTAGCAATTTTGAATATATTGTAATATGGTTGCTTAACCTAACTAGATTCTAAATATTTGTTTAATAAATATGTCGTCGCCAGTCAAAT